GTCTTTCTCACTGCTGGAACTGGGCCTGTGCTCACCACCTCCTCACCCCATCCAAGTCACAAAGGCTAAGTGACTTCTGCGCTAAGGGAAACTGGCAAAAAGACCCTCTTTCCTGCCTTCTGCACAATAAACAGCGATGCAGCCCTTCTTAGTGCTCACAATATGTGCACAGAATGGTTTGTCTGGGTGGGAGTGGGGCTAAGGCCATCGCACCTTGTGCCAGTCTTTGACCCTCTAGGGAGATAGCCGTACCTCAGTCCATCAGTGGGACAAGACCACCTCCAGGCATCACAGAACTGGGAAGTTGAGACAGGTGTGATGGTACACATCTATAATCCCAGCACTTGAGAGGCAGGTCAGGAGCATCAAGTTCAGACAGGCTGGGCTGCTGCATAGTGGTTTCCGGCCAGTCTAGGGCGTTCCGAAAAGCCAAAGTAAAACTAGAAATTGGAGACTCATGGACAGGAAGACAGCTGTTTGCACACTGAAGGCGATCTCCCCTGTGGCCGACACAGACAAGACTCAGACTCCCTCCTGAAGAGCGTTTAATAGTTTACTTCAGTTGGAGATGGAGTCAGAGAATAAGTTACAGGAACAGACAAAAAAACAAGAAAACAGAACTTAAAGTGCTTCAGGCTGCCAACGTAAACATGAGGGGCAGAAAGAGGCCACCTAGCTATGTCCCCAACCCCTGAGACAGGAGAGTCATTGTCATTGTTGGGGTCCCTTTACCACTCCCACCCTCTAATCTCAGCCCTGCGGGTGGGTGGAAGGGAATTTCAGAGGCAGAGAGAATTGGACAGGAAGGAGAATACTCTGTAAACTCGGGACAAGTGAAGGGCTGGGGCAAGGGAGCGCCTGCAGCCCTTGCCCTGCTGGGGTGGGGCCAGCCCCCCCACGAGAACTTGGGGAATACTGTTGGCTGAGCTGCAGCCATGCTGCCCATTTCACAGCTTCTGCCCTTATCCCTCACCAGCAGACACAGACAGACAGCCCTGCAGGGCCTCTCTGCCTACAGCGGGAGGCGCAGCCTGGGAACAGGGAGCCCTCCGGGGGCTTAGGGTTTCTGGAGTGTCCAGAGCTGAGTGAGCAGACTGGTGCTACTTGACGGGCTCCACCACCAGGACTTTACACTCGCGCTTGGCAATCTTGTCTAGAGAAAGCACAGCCTTGTCCGGGGGCAGGTAGAGGGGACGACCGACGGGGGAGGCCACAGGGGGTGTGATGGCCCTGCGCTCCATCACGCTGCCAGACCTGGGAGAAGACAGGGGCTGTGGGCTCCGTGAGGGTGAGCATCCCCATCCCCCCACCCCTCTGGCATCCTGTTCCTAGACTCCCAACTCCCCTCCTGGTCACACTGACAGCCACCCAGGTCCCTTACCTCATGAGGTGGCTGCGGGAAGGCTGCTGGTGGGAGAAGGACTGAGAGCGGCCTAGGCTGGCCTGGTGTCTTTCCACCAGGTCGCGGACGGCAGGGCTGCTGGGGCTGCTCTTGCGGGACAGGGGCCGGGCCTCGGGCGGAGGGTGGGACACACTGGCAGTGAACTGCAGCTTCAGTTTCATGTGCTGGCTCAGCTGGGTAGGAAGATGCAGACCTTCACACAGACCCAGGTTGGACTGGGCCTCCAGCTTCCCTGTGCCCAGCCTTCTAGGCTCCCTAAGGCATTTCCCCTCCAGAAGCTAGGAAGCCCTGACTGTCCCACCCAACACTGGGCCCACCTCAAAGAGCCCCGTCCTCAGAGCCTGGAAGGCCACACTGAAGGTAAGCGCGCTGCCCTTCCGGGAGAAGCCAAGGTTATTGAGGGGTGTGTGGCAGACGATGGAGTCCAGGGCTGCTTGCATGGCCCGGCGCTCCTCTTCACACAGCTGCTTTCCTGGGGACAGAAACAGCTTTCCTCAGCCCCCACAGGTCTTTACCAGTGGGGTACACTGAGTAAGTGTTATCTTTTGCTGAGGGCTATAGACAGCGGTGGTTAATGCCGTATGCCGAGGTCTGTTCATCAGTATCGCGCACTAACTCATTAATACGCGTAACGAGCCATGAGATGTTATTTACTCAGTTTAGAGAGGATAGAAGCCCAGAGATGCAGTAACTTACCAAGGTCACACAGCTAGTAAATGAGCGGGGTAGAACCTGTACCAGAACGCACAGACCCAATGCCTCTGCCCACTGCCTATCTTAACTCCCCATCTGTGGCCCTGGATGACTAGCCAGGTACTCGGCAGAGCCATCCGGCTGCTGCAGGCACCCACTGAGGTAGGGCCGACACCACTCTGAGCTCTTCTCACTATCCTACCTCTTCCTTTCCCTGCCCCTCCCAGGGGACGAGGTCTCAGCCTGGTAGGGGACCCACCAGCCTGTGCGTGTTCCGGGGTCCACACAAGCCTCACAGCAAGGAAGTCTTGGAGGTTGTTGAGCAGCGTGTAGGTGACAGTGAAACGCTCGTAGGTCCGAACAGGGGATTCACAAGAAGCGGTCATCACAAAGCAGGGGCGGTCTAGGCGGACACTGGGCAGGCTAGGAGCAGTGGAAGAGGAAGCTGGGTGTATGTGTTAGGCAGAGGTAAGCAGAAGAGCCTGGTGGGTCTCCCACATACTCACCGGTAGTGGGTGTAGATGCTCTGGGTGAAGGGCAGTTTTGGGGTGGACCACTGAACCACGGCAATCAAGGGGACTTCAAGACCCTGCAGAGAGGACAAAGGGAGACTTCCCATGTTCAGAGTTTTCGTCTCTTAAGCCCACACCTTTCCCTTCAGTTGTCTTTCCTTTGAGACAGGTCTCAGCCTAGACTCCTCTACGTCTCCTTACTTAGCTGGGGATGACCTTGAACTTCTGATTCTCCGGCTGTCTCGAGAATGCTAGAATCCCAGGCCCCAGGCGCCTGCCACTACTGATTTATGCAATGCTGAGGGCAGAACCCAGGGTTCTGTGCTTGGAAGGCAAGCACTCTACCAACTGAACTGCATTTCCAGTTCCCGCTGTTCTCATCACTTATGTGAACACACCAGCTCACCTCCTTGGCCCCAGGAGGGGGCTGCTCACCCCCTCTCAGCTGAAACAGGAAGTTGTGTTCCTCCAGGGCACTAAGAGGACAAGGGAAGTAGCCAGAGGTACCAGGAAGCCGACAGAAGGAGCCCATGGAGACTTCCCCAGACTGGTGACTAGTACAGAAGAAAGGAAGGCAGTGAATAGCTTGCCATGTCCCATCTCTGTCTCACCGCTTGACAGCCCCGCCCCTCCCCAGGACCTCACCAGACATTGTCCACCAGCAGGACAGAGCCATCAGGCATGACGGGGAGGTAACTGGCATTGAAGTTGGGGAGGATTCGGATATCCCAGATGGAGATCTCCTCCTGGGAGGAGCTGTTCAGCACTGTGTGGGGGAACCAGCCAAGTTCAGAGAAGTGAGCCCCCCCCCCTTTCCCCCAGCCCTACCTTTACCAGCATAATAGACCCATCACTGCCCTCCAAGCCACTCCCTTGGACTATTCAAGCCTTGAGCCAAAAGATTTGCTCACCCTTGAGCACGGTCAAGTGTTTTCCAGCCACAGTGAACTGCCGGCATTTCAGAACTGGAGGGGGAAGCAGCGTCAGCAGGGTGCTCACTGCAGACAGGGGATGAGGCAAGAAATCAGACCTCTGCTTCTCAGTTCTTCCCTGCCACCCTCTAATCTACCCCTCTTCCGGGTTCCAGCTTTTCCCGTCTCCCCCACCTTGGGCCTTGAAGGCGCTCTGTTCTCCGCGGAAAGTCTCTCCAGGAGATCGAGTCTGTAGCAAGCGCAGGTAGCCTTGATCTCTGACTTCCGGTGCCTCGACCTCGCGCTTCCACACGGTCACTACAATCTAGATTACCGGAGGCATCGGACCACGATCAGGACTGACGGGTGGGTCTTGAAACGCCGTCTGAATTATGGGGCAACAGCTCCAGCTTTGTCATCCTACCTTGGCCTTGGGTGTCCCTGGGGGCAGTCTGTCCAGTGAAACAGTGAGAGGGAAAATGACCTCATCTGTGGACACGATCGGTTCTTCCACAGGCAGCTGGGGATGGCAAAGGGGTGAAGAAGTCAGGAGGGTATCGAAGACGCAGGATCCTTCAACCTCTCCGCAAGACAGGGCAAGTCTTTACGCCCTCCCCTCGCTCTCATCTGCCTCCTGTCTTAGGTCCCTCTGCAAGGCAGAACAATGCTGTCATCTGCCTCCTGCGTCAAGTCCCTAAAGAGTCCATGCCCCAAACTTCCCGTTACCCCCAAAGAACCTCCCTCCCCTCTGCCCTTGTCACCCAGAGATCCTCACCGTGGTCGCTCCCCCTGAGGTAGCAGGGCCCGGGCCGTGGGTGAGAAGGGGGCTGCAGCCTCGAAATAAGCCTCCGCCCCCTGGGTCCCCTCCCCCCGGGGGCTCGACATCCTGGTCGCCGGCGCCGCCGCCCCCCGGGATCCCCCCTCCGGCGCTGACCGAGGCCAGGGCGGCCAGGGCTGTCGCCAGCTCGGTCCAGGCCCCTCGGGATGCCAAGCCCGCGCCTCCCCCGACGCCGGGCCCCGCGCCGCCCCGGCACCGCAGCACCAGCAGGAAGCGGACCGTCTCCCCCAGGTATAGATGGTTGCGCCGGGGCAGCGCCCGGTACCGGCCCGGGTCCCCAGCTAGCTCGGCGCGTGGCGGCAGCGGCACGGCCGGGAAATACATCGAGTAGTCGCACTGGGACTCCATTGGGCGGAGAAGGCGACGCGACCCGAGACCGGGCCGGCGGGGAGCCACGGGACCGGCGGGAGCTCGGCCGGCGAGTCCCGACACCCGAGGGCCGCCGCTCCGCCCGGCAGCGGGAGACACCAGCTCGGCCCGGAAACCAGGGAAACGAACCCGGAACCCAGACCCAGCGGCGCCGGAACTGGGGTGCAGGGCTGAATGACTGGAGAAAGACCGGAAGCGGAAGGAAAGGGGCGTAGCCTCTGAGGTTGCACGGAGCTGGTCTGGTTTGCGGTCGTGAATGTAGGCTGCTGAGGAATTTGCGGGAGGCTAGACAAGCTTCTTTGGGTAGAATTTATTTTTATTTGCCCTCTTCCTCCTCCCTTCTTTCTTTTTATTCCCTTTCTCCCTTGCTGTCTTCCCTAATTTTCTCTTTCTGTTCCCCCTCTCTCACGCTTTTTTCCTTTTATGACAGGGCTTCTCGAAGCCCAAGCTGGCCTTAATCTCTCTCTCTGCCTGGCTGAGGATGAGCTCAGACTTTTGATTCTCTTGCCTCTTCCCTTCTCCGGAGTGCTGGCATTACAGGTATGTGTCATCAGGTCTGATTATGCAGGGCTGAGGATTGACCACACGGCTTCATTCATGCTGGGCAAACACTACCAACTGAGCTACCCCTGCCTTTTTCTTGGATTTTTGTGGTGGTGGCGGCGGTTGTTTTTGGTGGTGTGTGTCTGTATTATTGGCATCATGAGCCTCAGCCTGAGGCTAGTCAGTCGTTTTCCCAACGGGCTGTCCATCCCTCCCCCTTTGAGAGCCCTACATAAAAACAAGTAACGGGGGCCTGGAGAGACGGCTCTGAGGTTGAGAGCACTTGCTGACCTTGCAGAAGACCAGGGTTTGGGTCCCATCCCCCACATGGTGACTCACAATCCTTGGTAACTCCAGTTCCAGGAGACCTGTGGGCACCAGGCATGTTGTGTGGTACACATTTATCCATGCAGGCAAATTACTTGTTTTTAAAAAATAAGTAAACGTTTCATAGCATTTATTCATCCAACAAATATCTTCACAGTGAAATCAACACAGCTCCATAACAAATTTTTCATAGAGAACTGGATGCATCATGCCCCAACTTTCTCTGGCTCACTCTTCTTTTGCCCCTCCGGGGGGGTTTGGGGGAAACTGCTACATGAACCTGTCTTGGGAGACTTGAAGAGACCCAGTGAGCAGCTGGGAGTGGGAAGCAGCTGTTGCTGGAATTCCTACTGAAAAACCAGGCAGCTCAAGTCTCACCTTAGAGCAAACTTCCTGTTCCTTCCAAGGGAAGGGAAGGTGCGTCGCGTGTCTCACCTGTCATCCCATGCCTATGGGGGCAGTAGCCTTGAGGTCTTGAGAGGCAGGGAGACTGTAGGGGGAAACTGCTTGGCATCAAGTTTGTCCTTGTACTGCAGCTCAGGAGTAGCCAAGCGTTCACATTCCTCTTGGTCTTTCGGGCTCAGTCCGCTCTGAAGTACGTACCCCAAAACTTTAGCTGAACCAAACTGGAAAGGACGGAGCTTTACATCGGTGATGTATTTGGGGTCTAAAGCCTCACCTCCCATCAGGCAACGTTTCGCCAGAGCTTCTCTTCGAGCCCGGAGCTCAGCCACAGCACGTTGCAGCCGGCTGCGGCCATATTGTTCTATCCGTGCCCACAGACTACGGTTGAAGTGAGTATAAAGAGCCCAGTCTAGGTTATTCCAAGCTCGGGCCCGTGCAGTCAGCTGCTGATCTTCACCAGTCAACACACTCTTGTTGGCAGCCCCGAGCCTCTGCTCACCTCCAGCCTGGGCATTGTGCATGAAGCCCACCACGTCATCTAGACCCCAGCACAGGGCATCTGCCAGCAGAACCAATGACTCGTCAAAGTACTCGGCCACCATGACCAAGTCAAAGACCGAATCCAGCCAGGCCAGACCCCACTGGATAAAAGATGAGGGCCGGAAATCTGAAGAGGCAAAGCCGGCTGGCTGCTGGTGACTATTAGCAGCTGTGGTCACAGGCTGGAAGAGAGTTCCAGGGCCAGCAGCAGAAGGCATAATATGTAGCTGGAGGGGGCTGGGGTCCCTGGGTAGATGAGGACTCGCTCTCGTCTCTGGGGGGAAGGGCAACCCAAAGTCGAACCATAGTAAGTTGCGGGCATAGTGGTTGCCACGGCCCCCGGGTCTGTAGAAGGCTCGAGGATTGGACAGGAAGGCAGCCAAAGAAGGTGCCTTTCGGAAGGCTGATGAGGTTGACTTGTAGTAGGAGAAGGCAGAGCGGGCTAGAGCCGCTGGATCTCGGACAATGGAAAAGAAGAAGCTGTCAGAAGGCATGACCTGAAGTACCTGCAGGGGAAAGAAAGCAGACACAGAGAACGCTTGACTGAGTAGAAAATAAGTACAAGCTAAGGCTCTGGTGAGCCCCCTCGGAACTCTGCCCCCCACCAGCTAAGCTTCCCTAACTAGCTGGGTGTGCTTGGGGGAAGTTATGTAACACCTCTAAGACTCAATTTGCTTCTCTGCAAAAAGGAAGTAAGTCAGGGGTTCCCAGGTGAGACGAATACATGAGATAACAGCTAGTCAGAAATCCGGAACCCACAAAGCTCTAGGTCATTCATTTCCTTGGGCCTTTGTGTCTTCTTTAGTTGCTTAAAAACTCCCAAACCTGGGGCTGGGGAAATGGCTCAGTCAATAAAGTGTTTGCCACACAAGCATGAGGACCCCAGTCCATACTCTCATAAAAGCCTGGCACAGTGGTGCTCACCCATAAGTCCTGTGCCAAGGAGGCAGAGACAGGGCCATAAGCCCTGGGAGCTGGCTGGCACACACCTAAAACCTCTAAGGACAAGACTTGGTGTTTACTTCTGCAGTAAAATTCCATTTGTATTCAGTTTTTGCATGTGCATATGTGTGAGTGTTCATGTGTGTGCACTTGTTCGTGTGACTCTGGGGGAGAACCTTAATTTCTCAGGTATCATCCACCTTTGTTTTCAAGACAGGATCTCTCACTGGCCTGAGTGAGAGATGAACCAGGCAAGGCTGACTAGTCAGGGAACCCCAGGGACTCTCCTGTCTGCCTCCTCCAAGCTGGAAACACAGAGTCTGCTACCAAGCCCAGCTTTCTTCCATGAGTTCTAGAAGTCAAATTCAGGTTCTAAAATTGCTTGCATGGTAAGCAATTTTACTGTACCTCCCCAGCTCTATCCCTTTTTGAGATAGGGTCACACTTACATAGCCCAGGGTGGCCTTAAACTTAAGGCTCAGGACCTGAATATTGTAATTACAGACAGGTGCCAACATGGCCAGTACACACACATGCACAGACACACACACACACACACTCGTTAAATGCCTTTTCTGGGACTCTTAATCACAACTTCAAGAAAGCAATTGGCCTGAGGCTCCTCAAAATAAAAGGAGGGAGACATCAGTGGCAGGAACTGTGTTCTTAGACCAGCCCAAGATGAGTGCCACACAAGGCTCTTCTGTAACTCCAAAGATCTTGGAGAACAAGACGCTCCTGAAGTAGGGCACTGGCGGGAGGTGGGGGGGGGGAGGGCTGGACAGTGCTGGAAAATGTGTCTATTACTCAACAGGTACCTTGAGAATCAGGCTTACTTGTGCTGTAGCCTAGCCCTGCAGACAGATTGATGTGTATGTTAATAGCTCCCACACTCCCCGGAGGTATCTACCCTGAAAATGACTTTTATCATGGAATCTAACCTTTCTGTATCACAGTGGCAATTGGGAATAAGTCTGTCCTTAAGGAAGTTTTTAAAAATGAGGATCAGGGGCTGGACAGATGGCTCGGTGGTTAAGACCTTGTATGCTGCAGTTGTGAGAATCGGTGTTCAGATCCCAGCACCCAGGTAATGAGCCAGGTATCTCTACAAATGCCCGTAAGCCTGCCTCCAATGGGGGCAGAGACAGGAGGATCACTGGGCTTGCTGGCTTCCAACCTAGCTGAGAACCTAGCCCCATGTTCAGGGAGGGACAGGCAGAGAATGATACCCGAGAACTCCCTGCTACCCTTTCTAAGTGTCCTTGAACATGCACAGGCACACATTGTCTCTCTCACACACAAAGAAATCTTCAGATGAATAAAATAAATACAATTGGGTCAATCTCCAAAATGATAATAGGAACTTATTTGGAATTTATGCTGTTATGCTACGCATCTGGAAACTATATGAGCAAGGCCCCAGATCAGCAACAAGGCATTCCTCAGTCTTTAACCATCCCTCCTAAGAGAGAACAAATGGTTACATTTCTCATATCATCAAGAAATTTCATTCCCCAAACTCCTATACCGCCCCCCTCAACTCTGCAGGAGACAGCCAGAGAACAAATGACCGCTTGTGAATGACCATTTATAGATTTGAGTGGGGCTACATAGCAAAACAGACTGAAAATTTACTGAGAAAAAAAATTGATTTTTTTTTAAAGGCTCAGTGGCTAAACAGCTGCTGCACAGGTGTGAGGACCTGAGTTCGGATCCCCAGCACCCATGTAGGTAAAGCTAGATGTGGGAGCACGCCTCTGTTATCTCCAACGTTGAGGAGGGAGGTCGAGACAGGTGAGTCCTCAGAAATCCACAGACCGACTGACTAGCCTGGAGCACATAGCCACAAACTGCAGAAAAGACCTGTCTCGAATGAGGTGGAACGTGAGAACTAACACAAGGCTGTTCTCTGACTCTGACTGCCACACATGCACTATGGTACGCACACGCTTGGATCAGTTATGGACACACATCCTACAAAGGTTTTTTTTTTTTTTTTTTAAGAGTTATGCCTTTCTTTAACTGAATGTTTTTCATTTTCTTCCTTAATATGGCAACGCCCAGAGGGCAGAGCCTTTGAACTCTGGCTTTTTTGGAAAGCAGGTGGTAGTTAACTGTCCCAGGCATCAAAAATAACTGTTCTCAGTTCTGCCATTTGCTACTTGTGTGATTTTGGCATTTCACCAATGTCATCAGAGCCTTTGTGTCTTCGGGTATAAATCTGGATTAGTATAGGTGGAAGAATGTGGAAGTGCCTGGAACATGGTAGGTAGAATGGCGTTGACCATGACAGCCATCTCTCAGCCATTAGAGGATCCTAGTGCAGTGGTCACTGGCCCACTCTTAAAGGTAGCCCCTTGTTATACAACAGTGGCCCCTTGCTGCCCCTGACATCACCTTCATGGTCCTCAGCTGTCTCCTCTTCTGCCTTCAACAAGGGTGTACCGGGTGTGGTGGTTCATATGTGTAATCCTAGCCCTTGGAAGGCTGAGGAAGGAGGATAGCCAAGAATTCAAGGAAAGCCTAGGGTACATAGCAAGAGCCTGTTCCAAAACAAAGTGTTTGGGCGGTCTCTGCTATTCTATAAACTGCACACACTCTCCTGATACACACATGTCTACATAAATCATCATGTCTTTGTGATGGTTTGCTTCCTCTAAGAACGCCCAATCTGGGCTGGGGATATAGCTCAGTGGGAAAATGCTGGCTTAGTGCGTGTGGGGACTCCCTTAGCACAGTAGGGTTCAATCCCTAGTACTTCATTAAAAAGCAAACAAAAACAAAACACCAAGAATATTTGATGTTTACTAGACACTGTGGCTCACACCTATAATTCTGGCACTCTGAGAGACTGAGATACAAGCACTGCCATGAGTTCTAGGTCATTCTGGGCTAATGTTGGGTGTCATAACGGTATCACACACACACACACACACACACACACACACTTCCCCTGGAAGAATGTCTGAGCTGGAGAACTAACTCACTTTGTAGAGTGCTTGCCTAGCATTCACAAAGTGCTGGGTTCCATCCCCACCACTGTATAAACTGATAGTGGTTTGTGCCACCTGTACCCAACACTCGGGAGATGGAGGCAGGAGAATCAGGAGTTCAGTATCATCCTCAGCTACTGAGTTTGAAGCTAGTCAGAGCTACATGAGATCCAGTATCAAATACAGATGGGCAGACAGACAGATCCAGTATCAAATATAGACAGACAGACAGACACACACACACACGAGAAAGCAGGAAACATAATGAGCCTTTTCTCGAAAACCCTTTCTGATCTTTCTTTTAAGTTCCTCGCCCACCACATGAACCTCTCTGTTCTCCTGCCAGGTGCTCCTTATCCCTCACGGTGCTAGAATTACCGTGTGAGCCACCACGCCCAGTGCCCGTTCGCTTTCTGTTTCTCCTGACAAGCATTCACTGGTTTAAGCACGTGAGACAACGTGTTCATCTCTCCGATAAGATGCTTCCTTCGGGGTCAGAGCTGGGGTCTCTCTTGTTTCTTTTTGAGATAGAGGTATAGTTATGCAGCTCAGGTTGACCTTCAGCTGTTTTTTTTAAACTTTTTTTTAACTTCTGGTTCCATCTCCCAAGTGCTAGGATTACAGGTGTGCACCTCCACACCTGGTTTATATGCTGCTAGGAATTGAATCCAGGGCCGTATACATGCTAGACAAGCAGTCTGTCAGCTGGGCTACATCCCTAGTCTGACCTCCAGGAGCCTCCTGTCTCAACTTCCCAAGTTCCGGAATTACAGGTATATGCCATCACACTTTCAAAATGTCCAACTCTTCTTTCTGTTGAGGGCTTAACACAGAACTGACATGAAGTTTCAAACCATGGTTTTTATCCATAACCCCAGCGCTAGGGAGATGGAAACAGGATGACCCTGGGGCTCGCTGGCCAGCCAGTCTAGCTGAATCATTAAGTTCCAGGTTCAGTAAAAGACCCTGCTGGTCTCCAAAGCTAAGGTGGAAAGTAAGATATATATCTGGAGTTGATATCTGGCCTGACATCTGGCCCCCAGAAGCACACACATCCTCCACACACAGATCCCACAGGAGAGAGGGAACACTCGAGCTCTGCCCCAGGCAGAGGACACTCGGAGAAAGAGCAACAGGAAACCTCACCTTTATATCCTAGCGCCCAGTTTGTGGGTGAACCCCCATACCAAGGATGAACCCCTCTTACAGGTCTTGACCACAAGCCTGAGATTTCTTGTCCATTCGTCTCCACCCTCCTTGTACCTCCTCACCTCTTTCAGGTTGAATCTCATGTGGTGACAGAGGATATGGAAAGGCTTCTTGGTGTCTGAACTCTGGGGGTGGTAGCCTTTGACCTTAGAGGCCTGGAAAAGCTTTGGGTAGCCAAACTGGTAGTGGGCAGGCAGGGCAAAGCGTAGCCCCTGCTGGTCCCCATAGCGATGAAGGAGATTGAGCACAGAACTGCTCCCAGATTTGTGTGTCTTCAAGAACACAAGCCGCTGTCGGGGGAGGCAAGACTTAACAGTTGGTCCCAGTGAAGGGATCCAGGACTGTCGGAGCTGCAGCCCCGGTAACCTGGAAAGAGAAAGGAAGCAGAGTGTCCTGTCCCTTGCCATTGTGTGGAACAGGTGGGTCCTTGTGTTGAATCGGCAGCAGGAATGCCCCCACCCCAGCATTCACCCCCTAGAGTCACACATCCCCAGGTGGGATTAAGAAAGAGTAGGTTGGGGGTGGGATATAGTCGGAGAGGTAAGGCAGGATGGGTACTCACCTCCTCTGGAATGGTCCCCCTAAGAGCTGGAGGCCAAATCCAATGGTCATGAAGACTCCCAGAGCCACCCCCAGGCTACGAGGCCTCCAGAGCCTCATGGTCCTGACAGGAGACAGAGGACCCATGTGCCACAAGGCAGGTGACACTAGGCAGGGACAGAGCCCGGGCCAAGAGCCATGGGTGGCAGAGATAGCTGGAGTTGGCTGCGCAACCGTGGAAGACACCTTTTGGAGATCAGGGGCTCATTCCCCAGGCCTGCTCGCAGCCCTGGTTGAGTCTGCCCCCTGAGTTAGCAGATTTTTGCCTCTGTCAGCGTCTAGAAGGGAAATGAGGGGGGAAGGAGAGGAGTCTAAAGAGAAGGGCAGAACCTTTTCTTTTTCTGCCACTGAGACCTGAAGTGGGGATGGTGAGTGGCCCAGGGTGTGTGTGTATGTGTGCACCCTTTACACCAGACCCTTATAGATGACCTGACATCTGTTCCCTGTTCTGCCAAACTTGTTTGTCTTCAGCCCCCCCCTCCAAACTCTCCGACTGTACCCCTCTCCCAAACTTTGGATATTTGAAAGGGAAGGAGAGAAAGTCAGGACCCAGATCTCAAATGAAACAGACACCAAATGAGATAGAATCTGTTTGTTCATGACCTTCTTTCCATCAGGGCATTGTCAAGCCAGGTCCTGGCTGCCTTCCGAGTCCCTCCGTCAATCACAAATAGGAATGAAGAACCTCCCTCCTTCTTGAGCTAGTTTAGGGGGAAACCTTAGAAGGGATGGGGTCGGGGGAACCAGAAAGGAAAAGGTTGGGTAACCTGGAGGAGGAAAGGGGGCGGGTGGACATAGAGGAGTAATGTGAGTCATGCTCCTGCTGGCAAGGCTGTTTCTCACTCCACCAAGGCAGACCCCAAGTTCTAAAAGGGGCTGGTGGAAACGTGGGATGACAGAGCCCCTGGATGCACCCCATTCCGCTTCTTAATCCTATCTATTAGTGCACAGGGGAGAGAGAGAGAGAGAGAGAGAGAGAGAGAGAGAGAGAGAGAGGGAGAGAAGAAAAGAGAGAGAGAGAGAGAGAGAGAGAGAGAGAGAGAGAGAGAGAGAGAGAGAGAGAAGAGAGAAGAGAGAAGAGAGAAGAGAGAAGAGAGAAGAGAGAAGAGAGAAGAGAGAAGAGAGAAGAGAGAAGAGAGAAGAGACAGAGAGATTTTGATTGATTTTCTTCCCAGGCCCTAAGCTTCCTGATGAATTTGGATTTAGCTCCACATTTTCAGATCACATCCTACAATCAAAGATCAAGGTCCTTCCAGCAAGCATTGACAGCCTCCTTCCCTGAATTGCCAGGGTGACCCCAAGCGAAAAGAATCCAAGCTTGCTATCCAGGGACTCGCCTCCTTCTGGCATTACCCCCAACTCCCTCCCCCACCACAGCCCCCAGAATTCAGCCAGCAAACTCCTGTATCCCCGAGCTAAACTTTATTTCCTCCCATCCACCTCAAGCTCTTCGCATTGCCCTCATCCCGGCTCACAGTCCCCTCTGCAGCTTTGGTGACTGCTTCATCTGTCGGCAGCCCTTTGTTAAGGGTCTTCTGAGAACCCTTCAGGTCTCCTTCCATAAATTCAAAGGTCCCTCCACTGGTCCCAGCCTCAGCTTCTCTAGCCACTCACCAGGCCACAAGGAGAGCAGGGGAAAAATCAGGTCGGGCTGTCCCAGCCACCGCCCGGCTCCTCGGATCAACTTTCCCTACAAACTTTTCTCAGCACCCAGACTCCTCCCCCTCCCCTCCCTTTGTCCCGCCAGCCCAAGTAGCTGCTAACTTGCTTGCTTGGGCATTGATCCATTCTCTCTGGGTCTCTCCCCTCCCTGCCCCTTTATGCCGCTTTACCAATCTACTGGGGAAAAGATACCCTAGCCTGCCTTTGAAATGGCACTTCTACCCTCCTTTCAAGGAGGAATCAATTACTTTTTTTTTTTGACTTTCCACAAAACAAAAGATTTATTCAGGTGTGTGTGAGAAAGAAAGAGACAGACAGACAGACAGACAGACAGACAGACACACACACACAGAGAGAGAGAGAGAGAGAGAGAGAGAGAGAGAGAGAGAGAGAGAGAAGATAGCCAAAGTCTGTCAAGAATTGCCACTCTTACCCTGAAGGCAAAGGCAGTGGTGTGTTAACATAAATAGACCTGGTGTTCTGCACATTTTACAGCTACTTCCTCATGTGATTCCTGTTTGATCTTCACAATTCTTTTTTAATAGGCTAAGATATTTAGACCTCAGGCTTGGGAAATCTGGGGTTGTTCCTTAGGGCTGCTTGCTCCCAGGGAACAGACTTCAAGAGGCAAGAAGCAGGTAGAAACTGAGCCAGTTACATATGCCCAGGAGGGAAATTAAAGAGTACGGGCATGGTCACAAGTGCATCTGCCTGTAACTCCAGTGATATGGGATGAGCGGGGCATAAGAGGCTCACTGGAGCTTGCTGGCTGACAGCCTAGCTCCAGATTCAGCGAGAATGCCTTCTCAAGGGATTAATGCCCATACAGAGTGAAACAGCAGGACAGATTTCCTCCTCTGGCGTCTGGGTGTGCACACGCACACACCACACATACACGCACATGTATAAAAAGCCACACGTATGGTCCAATAAATTATTATTTATTTACCTATAAACACTGACTTTAACGCTGAAATATGAAATGGATGCTTGTGAAGGATGTGGATGGCAAAGGTCATAGGATGAGCCCCCCTCCCCCACTTAAGAAACAGATGCTTTTAAAGAGTCAACAGAACCCAGCTCCATCTCCCCCATCCCCTGTCCCACTGTCAACACCTAGCTTTTTTTGTGTGTGTGTGTGTGTGAGTTGTGTCCCCAACTCTCAATCCTCCTGCCTCAACCTCCCAAACAATGGTTTACAGGCATGTGACATCACTCCCAGCTAGGTTTATTTGTCCATCTTCAATACCAGGTATCCCCCATGCCAATAGTCCCCCCTCCCACTTCCAAGTTCCTTCAACCCGTTCCCCAACAGCCCACCCCCTACCTTTTGCATCAGTGAGCCCCACACCTTAAAAGAGCTGAACCACATTCCCTTCCTAAATAAATATCCCCAGTTCCCAAATGAAAAAATAAATATTATGAACACCCATCTGCCTCCAGCCCATCAATGGGAAACTCCTGGATCTGGGGCCCCAGCCATTCACCCACCAAGTCCCTTTCTACTTCTCTGTAGCCCCCTTCCACTCTTCCTCATGCTGAGAAAGGTCGAGAGGAAAGGGCCATTAACCCTTCTGATGCTAGGGCACCCCTCCCTGGTTATCGAAGTCCAAGCAGGGTCAGGGCTGAGGGAAAGAGGATGAGGATGAGTGGAACATGGGGACCAACAGACGATCCCAGATTCCTGCTCCTGCCCTGGTTATATCTGGCACTGCCACTTCCTCCTTTGACCCCAAGGCCATCCCTTCGAGGAGGGCGAGGTGGCCTTGCAGGCCTGGCTGGGGGAACCACAGGCGCTGCCCCAGCTTTCCAGTCATCTGCGTACTGTTGTCCCCCTCCGGAGCCGCTGGCGTCTTCATCTGTGCAGATGGAGAGGAACAGAAGTGGATGCAGAAAGGAAGAGGAAGAGAGGTCATTCCTATGATGCATATGATGCATTCCTATGATGCATATGGGAGGGGAATTGAGGCAAGACACAAAATACATGTTTGTATATATAGGCATGCACGAAAATGTCAAAATGAACCCCATTATTTTGCACAATTAATATACAAAAAAAGAGATAAAGAGAGACAAGAGAAGAACACACTTAAGAGTGATGGACAGGAATGCCGGGGGGAGGGAACGCACAATCAGAAATCAGAAGCCAGACATGGAGATGGGACAAGGTAATGGGAAAGCCAGCGTCAGAAGAAGGACAGAAGTGGGTACATCAGGAGAGCAGACAAGAAGTCACAGAGAACAAAAGCAGAGAAACGGGCGGGGGAGGAAGGGGCAGGGAGAGTGACTAAGACAAAGAATAAACCATGAATGTTTGTTTCTCTTTTTGGCTAATCTGGGGGTGGAGGGCAGCCCAGTGGTACCACAGCTAGCTTCCCTGTCCCCCCACTACTGCTCTTTACAGTAAGTTTCCTCAGTGTTCTCTGTAGGAATGTTTGTCTTCGCTGCAATCAAGGATGAAGACCTTTGCGAGGGGTTTAAGTGAATAGGAATGACTGAAGGAGTTAATGGCGGGGCGGGGCGGGGCTAACGGGGCAATGAGTGGGACTCAAGGGGGGGTGGGCGGGAGCGGAGGCGCAGTGGGGGGTGATGGTGTCTGGGGCCACCAGGAGTTCCAAGAGCAGGTACTAGAGAGGGCCTTAAACGGGCAGGGAGGTAGTGGGCTGGGCTCCATAACAGTGAGCTGGCTCTCAGCAGAGGTAGAAGTTAGAGGGCAGTGGGCGGGACTTGAGAAGCGATGGGCAGGCCCCTAGGGGAGACTCGCTGGACACTGTCCCTAGGCGGGGGCAAGGGGCGGTGCCGAGTGGGTTTCTGGGCCTCACCAGCATCGTGCATGTCAAGGTCCTGACCCAGGGCAGCTGCCTTCATCCGAGCCGTAGCTGCTCTGAGATGTAGCCTCCGCCGCCGCGTCGGGACGTCGGGGTCAGAGGGATCCAGCTCCGGGTTGCGGAGCTGCTCGTTCAAGGAGCCCACGACCACAGGCGACAGATACCTGAGAACACAACACCGCGAAGGCTCCCGCTGCCTTCCTTCCCTCTAGCTGCTGCCCGACTCCCGCCACCACCGACAGAAACTCACCGGCCTCTTCCAACGCCAGTCCAGCAGGGTGCCGCCTCCTGCGAGAGGTCTGCCGCCATGCGGGAGTCCCCGCACACGGTCACGGGCAATCCGGCCCAGAAGCCCCGCACGCGGCCAACTCTCTCCCGGAGCTCCCCTACCTGCACGACGGAAAACAAAGCTGCAGCGCGTCCAGCGCGGTCGTGCCACACCCACCTGCACCCGCAGCTCCTCTACACACCAGGCGGTGCAGATTAGTGCCCGCCGCTGTCGTCGGCCGTTCTTCCTCGGCTGCTGCCCTCCACGGGCGGCTGGCCTCTTCTCGGGGAGCTGGTGCTCGGCGGTTACGAGACTGCACTGGATGCGGGGTCCCGCATTCCTGAAATACCTGTGCACAGGAAAAGACCCCAACACAGCCACTCCGAAGCAAACCACACTGTGCCCCACCCCCGAGTCTACAGTCTCCCCACATGACCTATTGTCTCTGACACTCACACCGAAAGCCACTCCTCACCCCTACCCTTCTACCCTTCCCTCTCTATACCTTGGCTGACACCTTTACACTGTTTTCCTGCAGGTGCATCAGACCTTCTGAGATCTTCACCCCAATGGACTCAGCAGCCAGCTCAAAGGAAAAGGGTCCCTGGAGTTTCTCAGCCAACAGCAGGAGACCATCTTGAGGGAAGGAGGGGAAAGAGAAAGTAGAGGGTCTGCACTGAACCAGGGCATTCCCACAAATCTCACTACGGCCTTAGGAAAGGGCA